GCATCGAGCATGCCTGTCTCCACCTTTCTCAACATGCTCTGTGAGTCAGATACAATTAGCACATGTGAGTACATCTGATTCTAAATCCAACGGAAGCAGCAGTGACTGCCTTCACCGCTATTCTCAAACTATAAGTTGTGATATCTTATGCCAGGCTTTGGTGCGCTAAGCGATGTCTATTTGCCTTTGCCGCTCAACACGGAGCCGTCTGTATAGATAATCACATCAACAGGGCGGGAATTGTCATGAATTATGTGTCAAACGTCTGATTCTGCAGCACCAGCTGACCAATCCCTGCACTCATGAACTAAAGTAATTACACAGGTCTGAAACTTGCTCGGACACTTTGACGCATTTCTCTCCTCACTCAAATGTATCAAGCCTACACAGATGTCTAATTGTGTCTTCTGCTTGCGCCATCCAAGACCTTCCTCTTTTCAATCAGTGACCCTTAGCTCTACCCAGGGCTTCATGCATAAGGTGCTTCTTGTCTGCAGCTACTCTGATATGACTTTGACTTTGCTTCCAGAACTTTGAGCCTATCTGTAATAGCTGGCGGTACATCTCAGAATGATCATATCGCTTCTTACTGTGTGAGTTCGAATTTCATCAACTGACTATGAAACAAGATGCCAACTAGCCAGTGTACTTGTGTACCAGCTAACACTGTTAATATGACATTCAATTCTAAGTATTGATGGCAAACAGCATATTCATACCAACACTGTGCTACCAGTGACAGACGTCGGTATTACCAAACGATAGTCTACGTAAAATTAGCACCTGTGAAATGAGTTGCCCGAGTTGAGCGGTGAGTTAAACCATGCAGGACGAAATTAGAAATGAAACTATCAGAACACGTCATGCTGTAAATTCATTGGGAAACAGAAGATAAAATGGTTTGGTCACCTAGTAAAAGATCGTCTGATACAACTATCAACACAGACGCTTAACGTCTGACGTGGAAGCAAGAGTACGCCCTAGAGGAAGATGATGACATCGGAGAGCATCTAAATCGACACAGAATGGCAATAGCCATTGCCACCCATCAAGCAATGGATCGCAAACTGCTCCTTCCCAAGCCGCTTAACGACAGATGGGCTGTATGAGGTTTCTTGTAGCCATCGCAGCTTTGCCATTTGATTTCTATCGATCCCTAGTTGGTAGGAATTCACTGCTGGATTAGTTCTGTTCTTGAGGACAACATTCTGGTTTTGATATACGTGTGTATGCGTGCGTGTGCGTGCGTGTGTGTGAGCGCGCGTGTGTGTGAGCGCGTGTGTGTGTGAGCGTGCGTGTGTGTGAGCGTGCGTGTGTGTGAGCGCGCGTGTGTGTGAGCGTGCGTGTGTGTGAGCGTGCGTCTGTGTGAGCGCGCGTGTGTGTGCGTTCGTGCGTGTCCGTGCGTGTATTTGAAAGCTGATGCTGTCCTGTTGAGAGAGTTAGATGGCTTGGAGGACCAGATTTACGTATGTGAACATGAGATGTATTCATGTTAAACTGGTGTATTGGGTGTCTGCTTGGATCCAAGAAGGCTACTTGTGAAGTTGTGTGTCATCTTGATTCGTCTACTTCCTTTGTGTGGCCTTTTTAGCAAAACCGTTTGTGAACATAGTGCCAAAATATTGGAGTGATTCTAATTTCTGAGTATATAAAATGAAAAAGTTGTTTATTCTGACTCGTTTGATATTTTTAAAGATTATAAGTGTGACTTCCAGAACTTTACCAGACAAGAATGGACAGTTAATCAATTATTCTAGCTTGAGTGCTTCACGCATTGTTATATCAGTTTGCATATTTTCATGTTGTGTCAAAGTTTTTCTTGCAAAATCATTTCTATTGTTTTCTTGGTAGTTGCTATTCTTCTTCTCAAAATCTATGGTTCATCAGATGGTTTGGAAACCTCTTAGTTTTCAAAAAAAAAAAAGTAAGGGATTTGTATTGTCTACACTCTACGGGGATTGCTTCTAGTTCACTAGTTCACTTGTGTTTGAAAAAGGCTGCCCAGCCGAAACGTTACGTTTTGTTGTTTTGTGCACGTTTTCCTCTTTCCCATTTTGTTGAGCTTTTTAGTCAAATTTCTCTGGAATTCAGGGGATTGCTTCTAGTTGTATGTGTTATTCGTAAACCCGTACATTAAACCTCATATAGGTTTAACTAATTCGTTTTCGCCCAACAGCCATGACACTGAGGCGTATTCCATAGAAAGCCTACCTGCTCCAGTGTGCTATTCTTCAAGTTTACATCACACCCTGGCTACACTCTGCCCGCTGTGCTGTCTTTGGGACTAAGATGGGGTAAGGAAACTAAACAAGTTCCAGTAAACTAAGAGATGAATTAAAGACGAAGGCGTTGGATAGGACACACGTTAAAAAAAAACTGAGAAATATATATATATATATATATATATATATATATATATATATATATATATATATATATATATATATATATATATATAAAACGTCTTTGTACTGGAACCCACATTCATTCATTCATTCAGTAGCATGTCCCTCGCGGAACCTCGCTGCCATAACAACCCTCCGGAAAACCTTCCTATCCTGAGCAAGATGTCCTGCGTCTGATACACCCATCTGGAGATCATCTGCCACATCCTGCACCCATATTCTCCTTGGCCTTCCTCTTCCTCTCTTCCCAGGCATATACCCCTCCATTATTGTTCTCTCTAGACTTCCATGACGTTTCAAGTGACCAAAATATTTCAATTTTCTTTGTTTTATTGTCTTTACTAGCCAACCCTCTTCAATATTCAGCTCTTGAAGTATGGATGCATTTGTTCTTTTCTTTACCCAAGATATTCTTAGAACCTGTCACAAGGGTATATAAATAAAGAAAGACCAAAAACAAACAGAAGGGAGATAGCTAGAGAGGGACGTTAAAAGGGGCGGGGGGGGGGGCATAGTGAGAGCTGCATATGATAGCGAAGATAGGACGACTTGGCCTGTACTCCACTATGTGGTTAGAAAAGAAGAAGAAGAAGAAGAAGAAGAAGAAGAAGAAGAAGAAGAAGAAGAAGAAGAAGAAGAAGAAGAAGAAGAAGAAGAAGAAGAAGAAGAAGAAGAAGAAGAAGAAGAAGAAGAAGAAGAAGAAGAAGAAGAAGAAGAAGAAGAAAGAAAAAGAAGAAGAAGAAGAAGAAGAAAAAGAAGAAGAAAAAGAAGAGAAGAAGAAGAAGAAGAAGAAGAAAGAAGAAGAAGAAGAAGAAGAAGAAGAAGAAGAAGAAGAAGAAGAAGAAGAAGAAGAAGAAGAAGAAGAAGAAGAAGAAGAAGAAGAAGAAGAAGAAGAAGAAGAAGAAGAAGAAGAAGAAGAAGAAGAAGAAAAAGAAGAAGAAGAAGAAGAAGAAGAAGAAGAAGAAGACGAAGAAGACGAAGAAGAAAAAGAAAAGGAAGAAGAAGAAGAAGAAGAAAAAGAAGAAGAAGAAGAAGAAGAAGAAGAAGAAGAAGAAGAAGAAGAAGAAGAAGAAGAAGAAGAAGAAGAAGAAGAAGAAGAAGAAGAAGAAGAAGAAGAAGAAGAAGAAGAAGAAGAAGAAGAAAAGGAAGAAGAAAAAGAAGAAGAAGAAGAAGAAGAAGTATAATGCAGAACAAAAAGGAACGAATGAATTAATGAAAGAAAGAAGAAAAAGAAAGAAAGAAAGAAAGAAAAGAAAGAAAGAAGAAAGAAAGAAAGAAAGAAAGAAAGAAAGAAAGAAAGAAAGAAAGAAAGAAAGAAGACAAAAGAAGAAAGAAAGAAAGAAAGAAAGAAAGAAAGAAAGAAAGAAAGAAAGAAAGAAAGAAAGAAAGAAAGGAAAGAAAGAAAAGAATGAAAGAAAGAAAAGAATGAAAGAAAAGAATGAAAGAAAGAAAAGAATGAAAGAAAAGAATGAAAGAAAGAGAGAAAGAAAAGAAAGAAAGAAAGAAAGAAAGAAAGAAAGAAAGAAAGAAAGAAAGAAAGAAAGAAAGAAAGAAAGAAAGAGAAAAGAAAGAAAGAAAGAAAGAAAGAAAAAGAAAGAAAAGAAAGAAAGAAAGAAAGAAAGAAAGAAAGAAAGAAAGAAAGAAAGAAAGAAAGAAAGAAAGAAAGAAAGAAAGAAAGAAAGAAAGAAAGAAAGAAAGAAAAAAGGACAGAAGGAAAGAAAGTATGAATGATCCAATGAAATAAGAAAAGATATCCTGCACTTGGGAAATTCCTACACTTGCTCCGCCTTTTTTCCCAGCAGCCAACGAACAGTCGACACGCTCACAGTCCCAGCTGCAACCAGGTGAAAAGACTACCTATGTTTCCCCCTCAGTGTTGACCATCTTCTTGGCCCTCTGCTCACAGCTCGTTGCATTAGTGCTTCAGTGCATGGAAACTCCATTGGTACACTTGATCCCAGAGAGCCTTAACCAAACCCGCTTTATCACAAGTGAGCTAACCACTCACAGGAGCGGCAACTTCTCTCTGTCTCTATCTCTCTCTCTCACTGTCCCTCTCTCTGTCTGTCTCTCTCTCCCTCTCTCTTTCTCTCTCTCTCTTTCTCTCTCTCTTTCTCTCTCTTTTTCTCTCTCCCCCACCCCTCCCCCGCCCCTTGTACCCCACCAGGAAATCACACAAGCGATAAAAACCCAGTGACACAAAGTGCCACCATGCGAATGAGGAACACCCGAGGAGAAGTCCCCGAAACCCCTTTCAATCGTTAGGCCATACTTATGGCCCGCCATATTCAGGGCTCCCAGCAAAAGCCGCGATCCCATTTTTTTTTTTTTTTTTTTAATTTAAAGCGGCATTTTCTGGAGAAAAGGCATAATTTAACTGCAGCGACCTTTCACCAGGATCTAGTGCAATGTTATAAAATCAACTCATTTTTTTTCAACTTGCAGTACGGTATTTAATCAAAAAGACTGTAAATTCGCTCATAAATAAAATATCGCAACTTTGTGATACCGACAAATATTCTCTCATAGTTTACAGCCGAACCATCAAACATTGGTATCCCAACTCCCAGCTCCAGCATCATAGTCAGGGCAGCTTCAGTCTGCAGGCTGGAAGCAGCGACACCGCTGAAGCAAACTTTTCTTCTTGACTGGTTGAATGGTTGTGAAGTTGGCGTAGACCACTCGATCGTTGAGACTTTGCAGCGGTCTCACGTTGTTGACCAAAGGATAATTTGTATTTGTCTCTGGGTCGATGTCAGATGATTTCAAAGAGCGGAAAATGGAAATCTGTGGACATTGAGAATCTTTTTATCGAGAAATTTCATAAATTTGAACACTGAAGATAGAAACAATGAATTTAAATGTATACATTTGAACAAGGAATTGAAAATCAGCACACACATACACATTTATATCTTTGGACATAGAAGCCACACTTAACACACTCACATTTTGAGATTTGAACAAAGAGGCCAGAAACAGCAGACATAAATTTAGGAATTTGATCAAAGAAGATAGAAACAATGGACATAATTTCAGACATCTGAACAAAGAAAACAGAAACAATGCACTGAAATGTAGACATCTCAACACAGAATGGAACAAACGAACTAACGAACAACAGAAACTAACGATCAAACAAACTAACGAACAAACGAACTAACGAACAAACGAACAAACGAACAAAAGAACTAACGAACAAAAGAACTACCGAACTAACGAATAAACGATATCTTTTTTCAAGTAAAGTACAGGACTCTGTTCTCCTCCTTTATCAAATTGGGCATATAGGGCTAGACCTATATTTTCTAGACCGATCAGCACTTGGTGGATGATGTGGTCAGCCTGACGTTTATTTGTAAAGGATTTGGAGTTGGGCACCCCAAACATTCTGCCCTCTCGGTCTCCCTCCTTTCATTCAAAATGCCATTTATACATTGAATAATAGAATAAATAGACAATTTTACCTCTAAGCAAAGAATATAGAAATAGATAGAGATTTGCATAGTTTAACAAAGAGTTATAGTAGTATTTATGGAGGCCTCAGAGATGTGGTTTTACAGAAGAATGCTTGGAATCCATTAGACAGCCGAAAAGAGCTACCAAGAGGTTTTGAAAGAGGCGGGAGCCTGAAGACAACTTATCACAGACATCAGAAGGAGACAGTCATCATTTTTAGGGCCATGTTATGGGAACATGGAAAATAGAACATGTTGTGACCACTGGAAAGATCTGTGGAAGAGAACAGATTCTTGACAGTCTTGTTTCATGGCATGGAGGTGTGTCAGCACACGAACTGGTACATGCTGCAGGAGATCGTGGATTGTGGAGAGGCATGATCGCCCACGACAGTCGGCAAGGCACCTGATGATGATGATGATGATGATAGTAGTCGGTCAGGTGCTTTATTAGTATCCTCCCCAAAATGGGGTCACACGGCTGTCCAACATTCTAGAGGGTAGTAAAACTGGGTTTCCTGGCTTTCTGATTCTTTTAACAACCCTAAAACATCTAGATCTGGCCTTGACCCCACCCACCTACGTCCCACGACAACATGCAGCCTATCTATCACCCCCTGAAATATTAGACTCTCCTGTGACCTGTGGATGTCCCCTGTTTGGGGTATGATATTAATAAAGCACCGTCGGTCGCTTTCAGTCCTGCACGACTATTGAGTTGTGTCACTGGACAGGAGCCTGACAGAACTGCTGGTTTCTGTATACTCCGATGAAGTGTGCCAGTTTCCGACACAGCTCTCGCATCGTTGAGATGAGATAGATCCCCCAGCAAGAGATTGTATTTTATACTGGTGTCTCTTGTCCCTGGTTTGTCGGATCAGCCTGCGCTCCAAAAGCACCAAGAACATCTGGTCCATCTCTTCTCCGTGAATATCTCACTACTTCAGCTCTCCCCCCTGTTTCTCTATCTGTGCCCAGGGGTTTTACATCCTGTTTACAGACATCATTGCATCGTATTTAGCGTGGTTCGGTTGGCATCTTACCTGTGATTATTCTCCACAAAGGAGATGTTTGGGAATTTGTCTATTAGCGTTCCGAGAGTTGCGTTTTGATTCAAGAACCAACATCACAGCATTGATGACATCCCCATAAGCGCCGCGTCCTCATCTTCAGCTGCCAGAGCAGATTTTTAGTACCAAGTCGAAGTCGGATTATATGTCCGTCTTGACTTTCCTCTAAGCGTCGAGTATCGGCCAGATCCCCTCTTCACACCTCACAGTATCTCTCTCACCAGACTGGGGTGATCCATTAGCTGCTCCGTATTGTGTACGTACTACCATTAGGCCTTATCCTCGTCTGCTGTATCATGCCTCAGTATTTCACTAATGTTTTGCAGAGCCCGTCTGTCTATTTGAATGTTTTTTTCGCAACACACTAGCATGACCCAGAGAAAAAAGCCAGACAATGCTCTTCACCCATGACCTCTGAAGCGAAGCATGTCACTCTGCACGAAGCCTGCCTGCCCGCAACTTTCTCGTCATGCTTTCTAAGTCCGTTACAATCACGATGTGTGTGTATGTGTGTGTGTGAGAGAAAGAGTGGGTGTGTGTGAGTTGGTGTGTGTGTGCGTGTCGTGTTCTCTAGCAAGCTAAAAGCTGCAGTGACCGCCTCCACCTCCATTCTTAACCTGGATCTTGTGGCATCATTTGCTAGACTAGCCTGGACCATTCAAGATGCATGACCCAGCTATTCCAAGTTGTCTTTGTTTGAGGAGAGAGTGCACTGTGGTATTATCTGCTCTGTCAAGCTTTTGTTTCTTATTTTGTCCTTCCATGATATGCACACAGAACGCGCCAGACATCTTAGTCTGAAGGAATTCAGCTTCATTTCCAGCCGTGAGTACAAGCAATGAAAGGGTTATAGAAACACACACACACAATGTAAATATTTGAACAAAGAAGAACAAAGAGGGCAAAAACAACAGGTATACATTGAGAAATTTGAATAATAAAAACGCAAACTACAGAGTGTCGCACAACTTGCTGCATGGCACACTTTGCTATGCTACCACACTATCAGTCAGGGACCCTACACCACAAATCAGTCATCTGATAATTTCTCCCTCCTGTGCCACTAAAAGCCATACAAGATTCGCGTGTTAAACGTCGAATAGACAACAGTTATGCGCATCAGATGTATAAGACAGCGCAACAGTACTTTGAAACATACATTACCAGAAGCACTGATATTAAGCATTTCCCTAAAAAATTCACAGCTCATAGTTTCGCACCACGCTTTCAACTCAGTTGGTGGCAGACGTTACCGGATGTCATCTTTGCCTCGTTTTGCTGCCCTATTCAGTTTTACGCTGGGTGAAGGAATCCAAACCTTCCAGCGGATTAAAGGGGCGAAAAGGATTCTCTATATGAAAGTGAAGAAGGCTTGAACAGGAGAGACAAAAAGACAAAAAAGACAAAAAGTCCTATACTGCGCACTACTGCTCCACAAGGACTCCATGTTGCTATGGGAGCCCTTGTGGCGGAGAAGCTTGATTCTTGCCTTCCCGCGCGAAGACCTCACGTATTAATCTACACGAAGATTAATCAACTGTTAACTTATTCGGATCCAACCAGAGCAATGTGTGTCATTGTATATTATGTGTGTGTACCAATCAACAATTTATATGATGTATTTTTTTCTTCTTCTTTTTTCTTCGTTGAGCAGCTGTAAGCTGTGGTGGAAGGTCCTGGCTGTTCGTCCATTTGGTTTGTTGAGCAGCTGTAAGCTGTGGTGGAAGGTCCTGGCTGTTCGTCCATTTGGTTTGTTGAGCAGCTGTACGCTGTGGTGGAAGGTCCTGGCTGTTCGTCCATTTGGTTTGTTGAGCAGCTGTAAGCTGTGGTGGAAGGTCCTGGCTGTTCGTCCATTTGGTTTGTTGAGCAGCTGTAAGCTGTGGTGGAAAGTCCTGGCTGTTCGTCCATTTGGTTTGTTGAGCAGCTGTAAGCTGTGGTGGAAGGTCCTGGCTGTTCGTCCATTTGGTTTGTTGAGCAGCTGTAAGCTGTGGTGGAAAGTCCTGGCTGTTCGTCCATTTGGTTTGTTGAGCAGCTGTAAGCTGTGGTGGAAGGTCCTGGCTGTTCGTCCATTTGGTTTGTTGAGCAGCTGTAAGCTGTGGTGGAAGGTCCTGGCTGTTCGTCCATTTGGACTTTGGTTGTGTGCCTGAGTTTTGCCTACACATCCGTTTTACTGGCTTATTTGTGTGTAGTGGGTGTTCCTTGCCGTTTGGGTGTATGCACTCCGACTTCGAAGAAAGCGCCCAATAAGTCGACTCCTACAACATGCTTCTAGGGAAAGTAGTGGGTCTAGTCTTGTCCCCCTCCCCCCTCCCACACACACACACACACACAACGGGGCTAATATATGTTTTAATATCCCAAGTTTTGTCATGGAGTCTTCACATACCCCAGAGTGTATTATACAGTGATTGTAGATTTTGTCCCTGTGGAAGAGACCCATGAGTTTAATTATGTCATTCTGCCTCTCTCATACACTTGCTCCGGCTATCTGGAAATGAAAGAGTATTCCAATAATGACGTTTACGCCTACTGTCATCTAGGTTCAACTGGTTCGACATCACAACCATTCATATTAGCTCCGCCTCCTCCTCAACAGCCAGGAACAGTTGCCATACTAATGCCACCCTTTGTCATCTGGGTAACCACTCGTCGTGTGCGCCCCCCCCCCCACCTCCCCCTCCCCAGTTGGAGTATCGAGAGGCGCCCAGAGGTTTCAGACACTCCCCGCCTGCATCATTCTTGTCAGGATCAGCTGCGTTCAGTTTTATTTGTTGACCTCGTCGAGAGATCACCTCTGCCGTATGCAGTAGCGGGTCCTCCCTACCACACTTCGTAAAAACACCCAATACGTAAAACAGCCACCTGGTCCTCGGAGATTTGAACCGGCGTCTTAAACACTGTCCAGGTGACCGTCTCGTTGCAAGGAGGTGTCGTCAGACTGCCCTCGTACCGGTAGAAATGCTGTAGGTCTGTGGGCAGAAGTCTCTTTAGGGGAATAGTAGTGATTTTTGTTCTGGAACCTGGGAACAAAGAACAACTAATTACTTTAATTTTAAATAAATTAACACACAAACATTAAATTGCGCAATTTATTTCGCCTGGTGCATAACTACAATAATAACATCATCATATACAATACTTTCAACTGAAGCACAAACATGACATTGTTCTCAGAAGTTCACAATTAACCACGAGCTCTTTGCGAGAGCTTGACATTAATTACGTTATCTTTTTTTGTTATACGAAGCCTTATTGTCTGTTTTAATTGCTATAGCTTCTGCAAATTACAGCAATCGCTTATTCAATGTGATCCACGCACACGCAGACACACACACAATCACACACACACACACACACACACACACACACACACACACACACACAAAGACATTTTTAAAAAGAAGTAAGTTAAACATTTCGCCCGCATTAAAAAACAAAATAGTCTTTTAATACCATACTGGAGAAACATTTTTAAAGCAAGAGAGCAAGAGGTAGACAACAACGTAAGTGGGAGTACACTATCAAAGGTGGACGAACAGCAGTCTAAGAGACTTTACTATCACGACCAGAGACAAAAAGTGTTGGAGATCCATTGTGACCAAACCTTCACCGTGGAGACGACACCTGATTGAATGTCCCCGTATTTGTGTCCCCATTTGTCCAGGCTGGTATTGTTCAGTGTAGCCCGTTAGAGCTTTCTATATCGTATGCACATCTCAATGTTGGTGGCAAGATTCAAGAATGACTTCAGTATGTGTGAAGAAGCTTAGACAGAGCAGATATCGTTTACCGTGTACTAACTCGGCTGGCAAGTAATGATGAATACACGGTGCTCATGACCTGGGAATGGAGCCTGGTGAAGCACGTCAGTGTGATGATCGAGGTCATGATACAAGACATTGCAGTCAAGGTTCTCTGAGAACAGTCAGAAGAGATACCGTAGAGTTGCTGCTGCATCTGAGAACTTAGCACGCGTGAGACTTCCATGAAATCGTTTTCAGGTTCTGCCCTCCAGCTACTGAGTTAAGTACAGGTGCGACACTGTGAGCTGTGAACTGCATGGTGAATGTTTACTGTCTGATCTCCTAGAGATGTTAAGTGTAAACTGCCTACTGAGAAAATGGCTAATGGCTGGTTGCTACAGAATTAGTGATGTGCCTTGTGCAACAATACGTATGCACCTGCTGGTTTGTGCTGTTTCAGTCAACTATAAACATCGATTCTGGTAACAGACTGTAGGAGTTTTGCCTCTGTTGACTGCCACGTGTATTTTTAAGCGTGTGCGAGCCTTTAGATACTGCCGAGCCTGCTTTCTGTCTGAATTTTCACATGGGACAGCGAATGGCATTGTGTATGGTTTTTCAATGCCATAGGAACACAACAGTTATGTGATGACACGTTTGCGATGCTACTGGAAACCTGACATATAGTCCTCAGTCCAAGGCTCGGCTCCTAGTGGATGATGGTTGGGTAACTCACGGAGCCATTCATATTCATATACCGACTCTAAGGCCGCTCGAACTTTTCAAGCGCCAAAGCAAAATACATGAGTTTTCTGTTTGTAATTACTGTTTAATGCTTATTAAAAATATGACTTGTCTCGCCGAGCCCTCAAACACTTTTTTGAATAATCTCACCGAGCCCACACACACACACACACACACACAAATATGCCTTGTCTCGTTGAGCCCACACACACACACACAGACATATAATTTGTCTCCCCGAGCACCACACACAGACAAATATGTCTTGTCTCGCCGAGCCCACACACAGACAAATATGTCTTGTCTTGCCGAGCCCACACACACACACAAATATGTCTTGTCTCGCCAAGCCCACACACACGCACAAATATGTCTTCTCTCGCTGAGCCCACACACAGACAAATATGTCTTGTCTCGCCGAGCCCCACACACACAAATATGTCTTGTCTCGTCGAGCCCACACACACACAAATATGTCTTGTCTCGCCGAGCCCACACACACACAAATATGTCTTGTCTCGCTGAGCCCACACACACACACAAATATCTTCTTCTTCTTCTTTGCGTTCACCAGCTGTACACTCTGGCGGAAAGTTCTGGTTGCTCGTCCACTACTGAACTGCAGTCCTGCTCCAGAACCTGAGTGTTGCGTGTGCATCAGTTTCACAGATCTCATTCTCTTGAATACAGACTGTTGGTTCCTTGCCTCGCCGGCAGATGCACTCCGACTTCAAAGGAAGCTCCCCAATTAGTCGACTCTTACGACATGCTTTTTGGGGAGGCAGTGGGTCTATTCTTGTTTTACCCACAATGGGGCCCCGGAACCCACACGGGGGACACACAAATATGTCTTGTCTCGCCGAGCCCACACACTCACAAATATGTCTTGTCTCGCCGAGCCTACACACACACAAATATGTCTCGTTACGCCGAGCCCACACACACACAAATATGTCTGGTCTCGCCGAGCCCACACACTCACAAATATGTCTTGTCTCGCCGGGCCCACGCACACACAAATATGTCTTGTCTCGCCGAACCCACACACAGACAAATATGTCTTGTCTCGCCGAACCCACACACAGACAAATATGTCTTGTCTCGCCGAGCCCACACACAAAAAATTTTGACTAGTCTCGCCAAGCCTACATTCACACACATAAATATGCCTTGTCTCCCCGAGCACACACACACACACACACACACACACACACACAAATATGCCTTGTCTCGCCGAGCACACACACACACACACACACACACAAATATGCCTTGTCTCCCCGAGCACACACACACACACACTCACACACACACACAAATATGCCTTGTCTCCCCGAGCACACACACACACACACACACACACAAATATGCCTTGTCTCCCCGAGCACACACACACACACACACACACACAAATATGCCTTGTCTCGCCGCGCCCACACACACACCTACACACAAACACACACATTTACGATTATCAAAACAAAGAAAAGAACACTAGATGCAAGCTTACGCCATTCTGTCAGGTCTGAAGTCTATCACTTTTAACAGTTAACAACCTGGAGGAAAATTTCACGTGAAGCGCTTCCCTGGGTAATCGTTACCTGCTAACGTTTACATCTGAGAATTGACCACGACTAACTACTTAACAATAACTTAAGTATGCTATTTACCTGGTTCGGTAATTTCAGGCAATTTTTTGACAATTTCCGTGTATGCAGGATTAGGGTTTATGTCAATCTGAAAGAAACAAATGTGTCAATGTTTTATGCCTCGATCGCAAGTGCCAAATTATGTTCTAAATTCCTTGATTGCAAGTTATGTGTTGAGAAAAAGGCGATTTTTTTTTTTTTCAGAATGAGGTCCAGATTTACGAATAAGCAGACGAAGCTCCTGCTTAAAGCGTCTCAAGGGGAGGAGGCACCTCATTAATTTTCAGCAACCTTAGAGATGTGCTTTTATTTTCTCAGTTGAAGTCTACTAAAATCCGATCAGAACAACTAGTCAGAAGGCAGGGTGGATGACTAAATTCTATTACGTATAGAAGCTTACATGTTTTACAAGATTTGTTTGGGGGATTTGATCATAGGGATGTGTGCTCTCCCCACTTTTATTTAACATCTATATAGACAGAATATCTAAAGAAGCAAGTTATGATACAGACAAGATAGACCTTTATAATCACGAGGAAGTACAAACATCAGGAGAAGTAATCGATTCACCCACATTAAACGAACTACTGTTTGCTGACGACCAGTGCTTGTTCTATCCTGAAGAAGATAGACTGCAAGACCAAATTAACAGGTTAAACTCAGCATGCAGTAAATACAACATGAAGATAAATGAAAACAAACCGAAACAATGCAAGTTAGTAGAACCCCTGCTCCACTACACATACAGCTGAATGCTTCTGCTCTGAATCAAGTTAGGGAGTTTAAATATCATGGAAGTATGATCAGAGAAAGTGGTAGAATTGACAGAGAAATAGAAACCAGATGTCAGAAGGCAAGCGCACTTATATACCAATTGTCACCATTATTAAGACATCCTAGCATAACTATGAGTGCAAAGAGACACATTAATAATAGCATATTAAGCTACCAGTGCCCAACATGGACACTATCTAAAGCCCATTTACGCAAAATTACCACTTGCGAGATGAGGTGCCTAAGAAAAGCAGTTAACCTAACCATCCGAGATCGATTGAATAATGAAACACTAAATTGTGGGAACGACACCTTGTACTAGATTCATCGAGAAACAGCAGATCAAGTGGTTTGGCGATCTCGTTAGAATGCAGCAAGATCAAATACCATCACAAGCTATACATCTCAGAAGATCAGCTACAAGAGCAAGAGGACGGCGGGGGAAAATATATGGATCGACAACATTAAAGACACTCTACGCCTTCACGGCATGACAATAGCCAGTGGCAGCCAACGTGCACTGGATCGCAAATTATTCCTCTCCACGACGCTTAACGGCAGAAGTGGTTCATGATGATGATGATGATGATGATGATGGTGATCATAGACTTTGCAAAAGGGAGAGAACTTTTCAAATACAATTAAAGTGTGTTACTGTCAGTTTTGTTTGATATGGATAAATACATTTTTTTTTTAAATGATCTTTTATTGTTTGTATTTTGAATGACACATAAATCGGACCACCAGTGCTGCCTTACACTTTCTCAGAGAAATATACACTAGGAACAGCTTTGATACCGACATCCTTAAAGATGTGAACATCAGGGAAGATTGACTAGTAAACAACATCTCACTTCATTAATTACATCTTTGCTATTTTTAGTTATTTTGAAGCCCAATCTTTGCTTTTACAGGGGGCCCTAACTATAGCCAGGTCTTAAATATGGCCTAACGACTGAATGGGGTTTTCAGGACCTCTCCACGGGTAATCCTCATCCGCATGGTGGCGCTTTGTGTCACCGGGTGTTTATCATTTGTGTGATGTCCTGGTGGGGTACAACTTACCTACCTACCTTATTAGGCGGAACCAAGGATTAGAAGAAAAAATAATAGTAGAAGGCATGGTACCAGGAAAGAGGAGCAGGGTTCGAACAACA